AACAAACAAAAACAGCTACATTATAAAGTGATGTAAAATACTAAAAACAGGAACATGTCTGTTGGTTTATGCCACGAATTTAGCAGATGTTTGAAGCCATTTAACATTTTATTTAATTTAATTAATTAATTTATTCATTTAAGAAACAAAATAAACAAAACAAATTCATCAAAAAGAAAACATTGAATGAAAAGAGTGCAGAAAGAAGAAAAATCTGCCCCTTATTTAAAAAATATAAAATAACTTTAAACAATCATTTAAATTAATCACTTTAATATCCACTTTAAAACTAAGAATAAAAAGAAACATGTTTTGTGTTAGCAGAATTTAATTATAACTTTAAAACTTATCCAACATTAATAAAACTTCAAGTTGCCTTTTTGGACATGCATGCATATATTTGTACAAATTGTACTTGAGAGGAGATTATTACAGCCTCATATAAAATCAATGATGATCATGATATCGGAACTGGATCGGTATCAGCCGATATTCAGATTTAGGTATTGGGATCGGATCGGAAGTTAAAAATGTGGATCGGTGCATCCCAAATTGAAACCAGAAGTTTACATACACTATGTAAAAAGACACATGCATTTTTCATACTGTTTGATGTGAAATCAGAATAAACTTTTCCCATTTTAGGTAGGATTACCAAAATTTTTCTATTTGCGAAATGCTAGAATAATGAGAGTGAGATCCAATAATTCTCAGTCGGGTCATCTGGACAGTTTCTTTTTTATAGAAACGTTTCACCCTCTATCCGGAGGGCTTCATCAGTCAGAGGAGTTCCAGTAAACTGTTTCCCCACCATGCAATAAATGGTAAATGGTAAATGGACTGTACTTATATAGCGCCTTTCTATCTTATTTCAAGATACTCAAAGCACTTTACACTACAATCTGTGTCCTCATTTATCCATTCATACAGCTCTCTACTAGATCTCTACAAAGATAATTGAACAAATCATTCTAAAGAGACTAATCAGAGCTTTATCACATTCATACACTGATGGGACACACATCAGAGGCAATGAGGGGTTCAGTGTCTTGCCCAGGGACACTTCAGCATGTGATTGCTGGTAGGTTCGAACCCCCAACTCTTGCATTGGAGGACGACTGCTCTAACTACTCAGCCAATAAACTCCTATTTAGGTTTTCGAAGGGACCCTTGGTCTTCATCCATTTCTTCATTAGTGTTTGCCTGTGTCACTGCCCGAGTATATAATCGTGGCTTGGTTTCCAGCCCACTAGTTACAACATCATTCATTCGACTATATTGCTCAAAGTCAGCCACACGATGTTCCAAGAGAGCTATTTGTCTTTTTCAACATGCTGTCTCTTCAATTCTTTAACCTTTCCCATTAAGTCCATTGTGAGTTTCTGTTGCTGTGAGATTGTTGCTATCTCACCAGACATAAGATACAAGAATCTCCTTATCTCCTCAAACTCTTCCTCGGTTATCGGTCGACTTTGCTTCATATTTCTGTTCGCCATTTCTGTTTATATTGAAGAAAAAGCTGATGTTGGTAGCATCAGTCCTGGGCCAGATTGTAGCAGTGCCTGGGCCTGGTGATAGCAGCTCCTGAGCCTGGCTGCAGTAGCTCCTGAGCCTGATGGTAACAGCTCCTGATCTGTTTCACACTGGATCTCAAACAGTATGGGCTCTGTTCCTGTTCTGCTTCTTCCTCCAAACCCCTGGACCTTGATTTTCGAATGAAAGGCACACTTTACTTTCATCAGAAAACAGGACCGAGGAACCCGACAGTTGTAGTCCATCTCCCGGATGCGTCTGAATGTGGTGGTTTTTGAAGCTGTGACTCCTGTCTCATTCCACTTTTTCTGGATCTCCACCAGATTCTGGAATCTTCTCTGTTTGATAATCCGCTGAAGCCCACGATCATCTCTTTTGCTGGTGCATCTTCTCCTGCCACAATTTACCCTTCCACTAGACTTTCCATTGATATGCTTGGATACAGCACTCTGTAAACAGCCAGCCTCCTTAGCTATGAATTTTTGTGTCTTACCCATCCTATGGAGGGCATCAATGATGGTCTTTTGGCCAGTTGTTATGTCTGCAGTCTTCCCCATATTGAACCGAACTGAGACAATTGAACCAAAGTGAAGCATTTTAATAACACCTGGGGAAACCTGTGCAGGTGCTTTGAGTTTAGTAGATGATTAGTGTCACACTCATTTTAAAACATTCATGCGACATTTGGGCTGATTTCTCCACAGAATTCCATTTTTTTTAAATCTTGTTTTCATGGGGTTTTTTTTAATGTAAAAATAAACAAATAAATACTTGAAATCATTTAAATTGTGGGCCCTAAATCTTATCACCTATTAAAGCTTAACTTTTTGAATGGAATTATGGAAGTTAAACAACTTTTCCATGATATTCTTATTTTTTGGAAAGAGACTGTATATCCTACTTCATGAGTGCAGCTACAGCGTGCGCTTTCAGGACATAATTACCTGCAATGTGTGTGTGTTCGTGTGTATGTTTATATATATATATATATATATATATATATATATATATAAATATATATAAATATACACATATACAGATGCACGTCATAAAATTAGAATATCATGAAAAAATTTATTTTAATAATTCCATTCAAATGTGAAACTTGTTTATTATATTCATTCATTACACACTGATTGATATATTTCATATGCTTATTTTACTGTTGATGATTATAACTGACAACTAATGAAATCCCCAAATTCAGTATCTCAGAAAATTAGAGTATTGTGAAAAAGTTAAATATTGAAGACACCTGGTGCCACACTCTAATCAGCTAATTAACTCAAAACACTTGCAATGTAGTATGTCAGGACAGCTTTGCTGGGGACACACTACTAATTAATTATTCTTAAAGCTAGTTCAAGCACAAAGAATATTAATTGTTTAATTACAACGGATTATTTTCTTTTTCGAGTTAAATTTCTGCCATGTGACTGAGATAACTGTGAGTGGATTGTTTAATCAGTTACATGAGACGCCATTTTATCTTTGACCCATCAGAATAAACGCGGTCATTTATTTAACAGAATCAAAATTTAACATCAAAACATGTACACATTGATTTGCTGATCTGTTTCTGATTAATAAACTTAGCAAGCTTTACTAACAAGACAACAGAACATTACTGATCGAGGCTGATTCACCTCTGAAGGCATCTAGATTACTGGCGAATAGCAAAGTTAAAGAGGAGAAATAGAAGTTTAAAGATTTAAAGAGGGATGAAAGTTATGTGTGGAACCAGAACATTGCACCCTTCCTCCGACATCCAGCTCAGCTTCCCGGTACACTTCAGGACGTGCAGCGACTTTGTTACCTTAGATGGGGGATACCTCCACTCTGGAAAAGAAGTCCATTAGTATGCTCCCTTTACAGCGTCTCCTGTTAAAGTAGCTGGAAAT